AACAGAACACCCTTGAAGACCAACAAACACTGAAATGATGTCTGCCGGGTTCTACTCAGTATGGCATGGGATGATCACAGCTTGACTATTACCGTAATTAAAACAGTAGCTTCCCTTATGTGTGAAAAACCAAGACTAACACCACCATCATACTCCCAGGAAGTGAGGAACAGGAACGCTGCCTGCTTATTAACCCTGTCACTGCAAAAGCCTCCTGTTCTCAGGACAGAGAGTCGGGGGGCAATAGAAATAAGGTACGGGGCAACCAAGAGCTGCAATGGCCATTCCTTCCTTTTATAAGAACATCTACATGGTTAGGATAAAAGAAAACACAGCCTATACAGAACTGATAGTTTTCATCTGAAGTTTGGTGATATTGAAAATATTTGCTTATATCAACATCCAATGCAAAAATTATAAAATATATTTTGTAGAGCTGGCAACTAAGTCAGGGCCTTCTACATGCTAGACACGCCCTCTGTCACTGAGCTCCATAAAATAAATTATAACATACAATGTCCTATAAAATACTGTTTTGTAGTGTAAAGCTGACAGTCAGTATACAGGCCAGAGATTCTGATCAGAGTTCACTTACTCAATACAAGAAACATTCTACAATCTCAGGGAGATCCTGGAATCCTAAAATGACCTTAGGTGGTGGTGCTACACACAACAGGATCTATACATTTTGTTTCAAATTCTAAAACCCTCTGAAGGCTGCATCACCATTATGCAGATTAATCGTTCCCTAGGGTCTGAGTAAGTTTCAAGTCTCCAACTTACAATTTCTCTTTCTTTTTGTTTTTTGAGACAGTTTCCCTCTATATAGTCCAGCCTGCCCTGGAACTTGGAGATCCACCTGCCTCTGACTCCTGAGTGCCGGGATTAAAGGTGTGCACCACCACTGCCCAGCCAACAACTTTACTTAAGGTTTACTAAGGAGCAGCTGGGTAAGTTCCAGAAGCCAGTATACTATGTCACTTGCGGTGGTCAAGCAGCCACCTGCCTGTTGGGAAAGGCCTGGTTTATCTGAGTTGTATTAATTACCACTCAGTCTACTGCCAACTGCCTAGGGCACACCATAGACACTCTTTACTGAAACTCAAGGGCCATCCTCAACTCGGCTACTTCTACCTTCGGCTTTCTTCACCCCTTAGGGGGTGAATGCTAACTAGACAAATGTGGCCCAAGCCAAAGCATATATGGCAGACAAACACCTACAAAGCAAACACCCGTTACAACTGACTGCATTTCAATACAACATAATAATGCAGAATATCCCCAGGGAAAGCTTTATGTGTAAATTTTTAATCGATCAGGATAAGAAGTATGATCTTTAAATTAAACAAGATAAAGCAAGAAAAATCAAGGTTTTGATCTGTGCTTGGCTTAGTTGTTTAGAGCATAACGGTGGCCGGGCTCTGTATCAGCTCCTACCCAGAAGACAGGTCCAGGTGTGTGCCACCACAGATGTGAAAGACCCAAGTTACCATTTGGCCAAAACCAAATTATTTCAAGTATTTCACTAAGACTGCTAGAGAAAGCAAAGTGTTAACTTAGTAATGTGTTTGGTTTTGATCCAGGGAAAAAGCTGATGAGTCCCCCTCTGTTGGACTTGCGCACTTGTATTCCTCTGTAACCATCCTGGCAGGAGCGAAAACATTCATTTTTTCTTTCTTTCTTTTGTAGTATGGAGGACTGGTGCCAGAGCCTTCACATGTTAGGCAAATGTTTGGCCATTAGCTAAATCAATTAAATTTTGGGTGGTAGAGCTGGAGACAGGGTATCATATAGCCCATTTATCCCCAAAGTCACTGTGAGATTCCGAACTTCTTGTCTCTACCTCTAAATTCTGGGATCACAGGCATGCATCATCATACTGAGTTTTTGTTTGCTTGTTTTTTGGTTTTAAGACAGGGTTTCTCTATGTAACAGCACTGGCTGTCCTGGAACTCAACTCTGTAGACCACACTGGCCTTGAACTCACAGAGACCCATCTGCTTCTGCCTCCCAAGTGCTAGGATTAAAGGCATGAGCCACCACTGCCTGGCTCATACTGAGGTTTTACACCTTGCTGGAGACTAATGCCAGGGCTTCCTGCATTCTGGGCAGGCAACAAGACCACAGCTCAGCAACAAGGACATTCTAAAGAGAGGCAGGCACTGTATCTCCATCCTTAGATATCAGAATATTGAAACAAAGGACTCCCCTCAAAAGTCTCATACTGAGAAAGAAAAGGCCAGGTTCCTTGTGCCAGCAAAGGGAGACTATTCCCCCAATGAGATTGCACAGATTGGCTGACAGCTTGCAACACCAACCAGGAACAAAGACAACGAGGGCACTGAAGTTGGGCAGGCCCAACTTGAGCAGGACTTCTGAGCTTGTAGGCCACTCATTAAAACTAAACCTCACATCCGAGCTCCAAAGATGGGAGTTTGTTGGGGGACTGTTGGGTCTCCTTATTTGTTCCATTTCCTAGTAAGGCTACAGAGAACAACCTTTCTCTGTGTGTTGGTTTTGAAAGGATGTGTGGTCTTGTTGGAGGAAGTGTGTCACTGGGGGGTGGGCTTTGACATTTCAAAAGCCCATGCCAGACCCACGCTCTCTCTGACAGCTGCCTGTGGATAGGATGTAGAACTCTCATCTACTTCTCCAGTACCATGTTTGACTGCTTCGATGTTTCCCACCGTAAGACAATGGACTAAATCTCTGAAACTGAAAGACCCAATTAAATGCTTTTTTATATAAGTAAGAGTTGCCATGGTCATGGTGTTTCTTTAAACAGCAGGCTAATGACTAAAAAAGAAATTGGTACCAGGAGTGGAGTATTACTGTAACAGGCGTCACCATGTTGTTTGTTGAGCTTTTGGACTGAAAAGACAATTGCATACTTAAAGTGGGCTTAATGGGCCATCCTATTATGAGCATAAAAGATAGTGCCAAGGGTGATTTCAACTATTGGGGCCCACATCAAGAAGTTTTGGGAGAAGAATGTTAGTAAATGGCCCAGAAACCATTCTTACGGTATTTTGGCAAAGAACATGGTAACTTTTTTTAACTAAAAATTCACCTGAAGCTAAATTGAAAAGTGTGGGATTAATGGCATTGGTAGGAGACTTCAAGAAGGCCAAGTATCGATTGTGGTATGTGGTTATTAGCAATCACTCTTATACAAACCTATAATGAAAAAGAACAAGTTGGACAAGAAAAATACAAAATGGCCAGGCGGTGGTGGTACACGCCTTTAATCCCAGCACTCAGAAAGCAGAGGCAGGCAGATCTCTGAGTCTCTGAGTTTAAGACCAGCCTGGTCTACAAGAGCTAGTTCTAGGACAGCCTCTAAAGCAAGACAGGGAAACCCTGTCTCCAGAAAAAAAAAAAAAGAAAGAAAGAAAGAAAGAAAGAAAGAAAGAAAGAAAGAAAGAAAGAAAGAAAGAAAAAATGTGCAGTTTGAGGAGAAAAGGAGCACAAGAAAGTATAATGGACCTCAGTTCACTTCAGTGCTCAAGGAGATAAAAAGTCTGATCCTGAATGGGTTAAATGGAGTGGTTACCGCAAGGCAAGACCCCAACTCGGCTAAACTTCAAATTTATGAGAAGGAATTAAAGAAAACCTTAAGCTGTGAAGGAAACCATCAACAACAGAAAGCGGTTGCAAATATAATTAAAAGAGGAAGCCATGTTCCAGCCACAACGAGCAGCAGAACTTGAAAGGGGTTGTAGAATTTCTGTCCAAGGCTAAGGAAAGCCTGGAGGCTAGGTGTGCCAGGGGAGTCCATATGTGGAGGCCCAGAGAGGTCATTGTGTGAAGCTGTGAAGGTGAAGTCTGGATTGTACTGGAGACCCCAAGATGCTGGAGATGCCAGAGTTGTGGGATACCTGCAGACCCGATGCGGAATCAGCTCAGGAGACAAAAGTTTGTTGCAGTCAACAAAGCTGAAAAGAGCTGGAAATCTGAGGAGTGCTTTGGCATCACACATGGAGATACAGAGTTAGGGTTTGCCCAGCTGGTTTTAGATCTTGGCTTTGGCCCAGTATTTCCTCACTCTGCTGTCTTTCCAAATAGTAATGTATATTCTGTACCACTGTGTTATAAGTATGTGACCTGCAGGGCTAGAAAAATGGCTCAGTGGTTAAGAGCACTGGCTGCTCTTCCAGAGGACCCAAGTTCAATTCCCAGCACCCACATGGCAGCTCACAGCTGTCTATAACTCCAGTTCCAGCAGATCTGGCATCCTCACAGAGACATATACGCAGGCAAAACATCAATGCACATAAAATAAAATAAATAATTTTAAAAAAAGAATCAGTGTGATTTAAAAAAAAAAGTATGTGATCTGCTTTCCGATTAATTTTACATGGGGTCATAGTTAGGAGATTGTCTCAAAGTTGGACTGAATGCATTTTTGCATTATGATATGGCTGAAAGTCTATGTGAGGGCCAGGGAGTGGAAGTTTAATGAGAATGGCCCCCATTGGCTCATTGACCAAATGCTCAGTCACCAGGGAGTGGAACTCTTTGGAAGGATTAGAAGATTAAGAAGTGTGGCCTTTTGGAAGAAGCGTGTCATTTGGGGGTGGGCTCTGTGGTTAAGAGCCCATGCCAGCCCCAGCCTTTCTACCTGCTGCCTGCAGTTCAGGATATAACTCTCAGTGCTCCAGCACTATGTGTGGCACCGTGCTCCCCCACAAGGTGATAATGAAGCCTCTGACCTGTAAGTAACTCCCCCACCCCCACCCCCGTGCCCACTAAATGCCTTCTTTTTTATAAGAGTTGCTGTAGTCATTGTGTCTCTTCACAGCAACAGAACAATGACTAAGACTCTTTCACTATTACTTGTTTCTTTAATGACATGTGAGGGACAAGAAGTCGGTGTAGCTTGGCAGCCCAGGTGTTGATACTCACAACTCCAGTAACACCAGCACATGACTTTGGATCTACTGGGAGTCTACTATTTCCCATTACCTAAGGAAATGCACATATCAGAGCAATGCACTTACGTTCAAAGCATTCTTTGCGGCCTCTGCTTCTGAGCGACTGTCGAAACTGACAAAACCTACAGGCTGAGGGAGAGAGAGAGAAACATCAAGAAAAAGAAACCAAAGAATCAAGGAGCATCTCTTTTCTAGGTCAAGGGTGGTGTCTAACTGAGGAGCTAAGATAAAGAAATGACCACAGGCAACGAGTAGAAATAAGAAAGCCAATCCCAAAGAATCAGGACCTAGTGGCTCAACCAAATTTCTCACGTGAATCAAAGGGATGGTGAGGGCAGTTCTTCAAGGACACAGCCAAGAATTTAGAGATCACTTTTTAAAAAAAAAAGAAAAAAGGAAAAAAAAAATCAGAGGTGGTTGGAAGGTGAGCAGCAGTGACCAGGGGACAGAGGAAAATCTGGGTTGGAGAGACTCTAGTTTCCTAAATCAAATTCACTGTACCTCAGCTTCTTCGTCTTTTAAAATGCAAAGAGAAACCGAATCACCTTTTGGTTCACTGTAAGTGCAAGGAATATAATGACACAATGGTAAAAAAAAAAATCCCTATGTTCTTGCTGCGCAACCAAAACTACCAAATGAACCTTTCCATCACAGCCAAAGCCGTGCCTTTCAAAACAGTTGGAAATTACTCTGGCATAGAAGGACACTGTTCAAAGAAATGGGTCCCTCCCTTTAGATCGATGTGTAGGCTGCCTGCAATTTACTTATTTCTGATACAGCAGAGGTTAGTGACTCAGAAATGTTCCGCATCAAAGGTAAGAAATGTTCGGACAATGTCTACGAAACTCTAAAAACCCCAAGGCCATCAACTGCCACCTCTAGCCTTTCTATTTTGTACATCTCACTCTACACCTGAGATTTTGTGATTCCTTATCATATGTCTATAAATACACCATCAAGAGAACTACTCAATAATTTTGAGTAGAGCTAGAGAGATGGCTCAGCTGACTGTTCTTCCTGAAGACCTAGCTTTGATTCCCAGCACCAACATCATGGCTCACAACTGTATGTAATTAAAGTTACAGGGGCCTGAGGGCTTCTTCTGGCCATTATGGGTATTGGATGAAGAGACACAGCATAGGGGCAGGCAAAACATCTATGTATTCATAAAGGAAATAACATACCTCAAAAAATTAAGACTAAGAATCTGGATAATACAATTTGTTTATTGAAGAAACAAATTAGTTTCAATATAACTCTAGAGACCTTGGAGGCACTGTTTGTACCTTCTGAACCTCAGAAACTTCCTATTTGAAGACTGTGGAATTACACACATTTTCCTATACTAATCCCAATCAATTTCACCTTCAATTTTGATAACACATAGGTCAAAATCCTAGCTGAAACAAAAGAATATTTATCAGGCTTCATTAGCAAAAGGCAGTCATTTTTAGGAGTTCTAAATTCTTACCTGTTTAGATGTGAGCTTTATAAGAGAACCTTCATAGCCCTGAAATATAAAGAGCAAGTTTAGAAAGAAGGAAGGGAGAATTATAAATCCATCTTCCTCAAGTGAGTCACTTAAGACAAGGACTATCAACTAGTTGCACTTCTCAATGCCTCCAAAGTTGGCTGTGGACACATTATAGACACAGACATAAGACACACAGGGTGGTCCAGCATACACAAAAGCCTTGGATTTAGCCCCCAATATTGCAAAATAAAACAAGATAGCCATATGAAAACTACCAGGAAGGGCTGAGCAGGAGACATGCAGCATTCTGCTGATCTCTGCTTGCTTACTCAACGAGGCCATTTCCATGGTGGAATCTGATAAGAACATGAAACACTCCCCTGTGTTTCTGTTCCAGCTCATGTGCAGGAGTTGAAGGCATTCCTGTCTTTCTCTAGCTGATTTCTGGAAAGATCAATAGCTAGTAGCATGCACTGACAGGTGACACAAGGGGGAGGAAATACACCAATTGACAAGAGCAACCGCTAAACACATCTGTATAGAGACAGATCAGCAACCAGGGCCAGCTGCCCTGGGCTAAAATTAAAGGAGGGTTGCTAGGGATGTCCCAAGGTCCTGACTTCAGCATTGGAATTTCTGTCCAGGTTGCAGGGACTGGTTCATCCTCACCAATTCCCAGTAGAAAACTGTTAATGTAAACATTTCCACCCAAGGCCTTCAGCACTGCCTATTCCTACTCTCTACAAGGGGCTCTTTCTCTTAGAAATCAATGAGATTTAAAACCTTGAAGGTCTCAGACACCAAGGACAAATGCTATTTCACTCGGGTGAAACAGCACTAACTGGGTCATACCATGTTGAGGTCACAGACAGGAATCAAAGGGTTCCCTCTGCTGTCACTGCTACTGGTGCATTATGGGAATGGCCATCTTTCCACACTCACACGTGCCTTCCCAGCACATCAACTATACCCACATCTTTGGGGATCATACCTAGCTGTTTCCTGACCCTTTCTCCTATCCAACCCTTGGGTTTGTTGCATTGCCACATCCCTACCAAGCTGAATCCAGTAGCTCAATTGTCTTCAAGCAGGTTAGTCTTGGATCAGAAACCCCCTGTCTCTACCAGGGTTCAGTAATCTTCCTACTACTAACAAAACCTCCCTTAACCCACAGGTCATAAACCCATGATGCCCTTCAGGTCTCATTAAAGTTTCCAAAGGCCAATGTTCAACGTTTCTTCTTGACAGTATAGTTATGTCAGTTTTAGCCAACTTTAAGGTTAAGCTCAACTGTTAAAAGTTTCAATCCAAGACCGGGTATTAGTGGCACAAGCCTTTAATCCCAGCACTCAGGAGGCAGAGGCAGCAGATCTCTGTGAGTTCGAGACCAGCCTGGTCTACAAGACTTAGTTCCAGGAAAGCCTCCAAAGCCACAGAGAAAACCTGTCTCGAAAACAAAACAAAACAAAAAATTTCAATCCAGCAATATTTAGTATCTCTTAAGTGATCGAATTTCCATAGGAAAAATGGCTAACTCCACTAGAAATTTCCCTTCAGTTCATACAAAGTTAGCATATACTATTTTGTCTTGTTGAACATTTATGTGTTTGGTGTAAAAGAAGCACAGGGTTCTTAATCCCAAAGAATGCTTATTCAAGTCCATACAGAAGTGTCTAAAGCGCTACTCCAGTCAATAAAGCTACCAACAGGGCTCAGATCATATTGCTGCATTTCAACTATAAATATGTAGTAACTTATTTATACCATTTTGAAGGAGGGTGTGATGCTTGAAAAAAAAAAATCAAATCCATGGCCTTATACACATTAGGTAAGTGTTCTACCAGACGGCTAGTATATTCCTAACCCACTCTGAAACTCTTATGTTCTGCACTTAGGGGTGTGCCTCTAGCTGAAGGTTATTAAAATTGATCTACATGGAACAGAGAATGCTGGGACCTAAGGACAATGTCAGACTAGCATCCCAGTGAGATGTCAGAACTCTGATGTTAACTTTGTTTTGCTTATTAACATCTAAAAAAAAAAAAAAAAGATTGTTGCAGGCACTGGCTCCAACATATCCCTCCCGCCCCCCCTTAAGGCCCCAGGGAAACATTTGTAAAGTACCTTGAATGGTCTGAAGAGCAGGTAGAGCTCCCGGGGTTTGATGTCCAGGGGCAGACCACTGACAAATAGGGTCCGGACCTAGAAAACAATGTGACAGGTGAGCAGGGTGTGGAAAACCCAGAAGTCAATCTTCATCTTCAACAGATCCATGACTCCTCTAACAATGTTCTTTCTAAGACACGATGAACTAACTGCCCCATATAATTTTAATATTAGTTTAAAACTGTGTCATGAGGACAGTAAGTTTTCTTCTCTAACCACAGCAATATGACAGACTTAAAAAGAAAAAAAGTAAATCTTTCGTTTCTCTTGCTTTGGTCTCTTGTCACTATGTCCCTTAATGGTGTTGACTGCCATTATTTTAATAAGCATTAAAGTTCGGAGATTATATGCAGCACCTACACAGGAGCCAGCAGACATTGCTCTGCTTCTCTAACTGACTGCCATTTCTTCTGTGTTCTTTGTCACAACCAACACATAAACCTTCAAGGTACCCATTAGGTGCCAATGACAAGTCATTAGGATATGTGTGTAAACACACTCGATGGGAGACACTGAATACAACAATGTGTCTGATGTCTCCTAAAATATACAACACTGACATGATGCTTCTGGCTGAAAACCAGAGGAAGCAAGTTACCATCGGAACTAGAACCTAAAAGAATTGGTAGTATTTTCCCAGGAAGAAATGAGGGTGAAGTGGGGACAGGAAAGCACAGGGCCCCACAGTACATTCTGGGGGCAGGGTGGGCCAGACTACACAAAGAACCTAGGGTCACACCATAGGGCATACATTTAAAATCTCCTGACTCAGGAACCTGATGTGGAATAAGCATTTCAGTTCTTTCCCTCTCCTCAGACCAATACAACACGACTGCGCTCCTCATTAGACACTGTGTTCAATCATTAACCATATATAAATGACAGAGAGGAAGAATATATGGTAGATTTCTACCACTTTCCACGGTTGTTATGTACAGAAACAAAAATCAATACGGCCGTTTTATTGGTCCAGCACAGTATGAGGTCAGGCCATTTGTTTGCACATTTACATATGCTGTTGTTACACAGCAATCTCAGAATTCTGACTGCTTTCCTTAAATTTGTTTTAAATATCTATGCTATATGTCTTGAAAATGTAGGTTCTCTCTCTGTCTGTCTGTCTCTGTCTGTCTCTCTCTCTCTCTCTCTCTCTCTCTCTCTCTCTCTCTCTCTCACACACACACACACACACACACACAAGTGAAATCATCACAACTGAGAGAATCCATCACCTTTTAAGGTTTCCTCATGCCTCCCCCTACCCTTTTAGAGACGAGGTAGACCTTGAACTCACCATCCTTCTTCCTTAGCATTCCAAGTACTGACCAGCATTACAGGTGTGTGTGCCACCATTCCTGACATCACATACTCCTCTAATCCTTCCTCCCAACTCTGTCCCACCAACCTTAGGCATCACTCATCTGCTAGCATTGCTGATTAGTATGTATTAATATGTATCCCAGAATAAGAGTTTGTCTCTAACGGGGCTGGAGAGATGGCTCAGCAGTTAAGAGTTTGTCTCTATTCATATATTAACATAAAGTTCATTTCATCCATATTATTAAAGTCTATCCAAAGTCCATGCCTTTTTACTGAGTAGTATTCTGTTATATGGATGTGCCAATCCATGAACCTGTTGATACAAATAGCAAGATATGGTTTGACTTAAAACAAAATCTCTCCTTCCATCCCTTGTTTTGCATTGCAAATGTTCTCTTAGCTCTTTGAACAATGTGTGCTTTGCCGTTGCTGAATGGAGTAGTCTAAAACAGTCAATCAGGTCAAGTTTGTTGACCAAACTTATGTTTCTCATTTCTTTCATCTCTGCCACAAAGAAAGTTCCTAAGGAAAAGGCAAAATTACTGACAAGCACACAAAAAACTCTACTATCCATTATGCCCACCTGCCTTCTGACCAGGATAACCTGGACCAGAGAATTTTTAGCCCTATCAAGTACACACCACATCCCTAACTCTGTGATGAGTATGGACTGGGTTGAAGATTTGCACAGGAACAGCACAATTTACAGACCATTTGTTTTACAGTTACATCATTTGTCAAGCAGTACATTGTGCTGCGGTATATAATGGTCATATTTGAGGAGCTTACCCAGGCAATTAGCTAACACTTATACTACTGCTCTAAAGAAAGAGGTTTTATAGACTTGATAGGCAATTTACCAGCAGAATTCACTAGATACCCAGGGATTGTAAACAAAAGACAACTTAATATAGTTGAGGCTTATCTGTAACATAACAGTATGTTATACCACCAAATAAATTATGTACGAAAACAGGATGTCGAGTGGCTCAGAGGGGAAAGGCACTTGTCACTGAGCCTAGCCACCAAGCGTGTTCTGGAAAGAACCACTCCCATGATGTCCTCTGACTGTCCTATGCATGTAATCACACATATGCAAGTGAGTAGAAAAAAAAGTATGTGCAACCAAAACTATTTAGGGAGGGAAACTATCTTTTAGGATATAGATGCCAATGTCTATGAATGAACTGTGATATACAACAGCTTTTGTCTTTTCTCTTTCTCTGGTAATAACAGTCCAATAGCATGTGGTAGATGTGAAGGTGTTTGCAGTTTTTAAGACATGGTTACATATAGCCCAGGCTGGCTTCAAACCTTGCTACGAAGCCAAGGATGACCCTGAATGATCCTGGTGTATCTGCCCCTAAAGTTCTGGGATTATAGACACACCCTGTATTATGCCTGGATAAAACACTTCAGGTTTTTGTTAAGCTGAGAATTACCTTGATTTATTATCTGGTTTGTGGAGGAAGCCTTAGGTAAACATTCTAGACTGAGATGTGAAAGATTTTTGTCTTAATGTTCCAGTAAGAAACTGCTATATATAGGAGAGGGGAAAAAACCCAACTCTTGGTACACCCAATTTTGCAATTTGTCTATAAACACAAAGGCTCAAAATCAACTCTTGTTCAAACTGAAGACAACTAAAGGGTTGGCATTTCCTGTCAACAGAGACTAGAAAGGGCACTCTCTGGAGTCTAGGAAAGCTAACCTCATCTCCAAAGCCTACCACATTACCTCAGACTCTCTCATATTTCCTCCTGTGACAGAACAGATGAGAACTGCTGAGGGGAAATAGTTCTTGAATATTTACATTATACATTGCCACTCAACTAAAGGTTACTAAATTCAAGAGTATGATGGGTTTACAATCCTTTCTAGTTGCTCCAGATTTGGTAAACTTAATCAGCCTCATTAAAAGAAGGGGGGTGGAGGGCACAAAGAAAGAAAATCCAGATAATTAACAGGGGGAAAAATAACTTTCTAAAATCTCAGCCCTGCTTTTCTGTAGCAACCAGGGAAAGAGTCAAAGGATCCAAGACCTCATCCCTCTCTCTCATCGCTACGCTCTCTATCTGGGTCAGCACATAGCAATGCACTGAATGGGTGGTGTCTTTCGTAAGTCTGTGGCAGTCACAAAGATTTCCTCACCTGCAGGCAGCTTACTGTCACAAACTAACAGTCACCTATGGCAACAGGAAGCTTAGCCTGGTCACATGGTGACCCAGCAGGAATCAAAGAGCAAGATAAAGGTCTAATACCCCAAGAAAAACCTGTCACCCTGCAAATAATGCTGCCACATGGACTTAGGGTGGGCAGCCCTTCATTTCCCACACTGTCTATGGATGGGCACAGATGTGCTGGGCACTGTGCCTTTTTTCACACGCGTGTTCCCTTCATGAGACAGGAAAAGGGCAGTTCTCAGTCAAGGACAAAGAGATGTCCAAGAGAATGAAGCTGCTGACAGCTACATCCCAAAGGGTCCCATGGAACCTGGGGACGAGACTACTCCATTCTTGCCAACAGGGCTGAAAGACTAAATGGCAACATGAACCACTGTGCCTGGGACAGACCAGCACCATCTAGCACTGCTGCAGAGGCCACACACAGCTGGGCTTCAGGTAAAAACAATCATGTATTCTTCAGTAGAACTGTCACTTTCCCACTGGGGAGACAGCCTCATTTTGAGCGACTGTCTTACTTAACAAACTTCAAAAGTCAATGTGCAAATCTGGGGTTTCCCTGGACCAGAAGAGTGATAACACTCTTTGAAAAAGGGAAGACTCCATTTGTAGCAAAAGTAAAGCTTCATTTAAGTAGGGGAGATTAAGAGGGGTGAGGCTGGCTTACGGTAGTGTACCATTTGTAACCAGTGGTCACACCTGATGAGTGTTTGATCAAGACTGTGTATGTTTTGTTTTTGACGGCTTTAAGGACCACCTCCAAATGTTTTTTGGTTTTGTTTTGGTTTGGTTTTTCCAGACAGGGTTTCTCTGTGTAACTTTGGAGCCTATCCTGGCACTCACTCTGAAGACCAGGCTGGCCTTGAACTCACAGAGATATGCCTGCCTCTGCCTCCCGAGTGCTGGGATTAAAGGCGTTCACCACCAATGCCCAGCTCCAAATGTTCTAAACTGTTTAAATCACACTAGAGGAAAAGGCCAGTTTTCCCTTTCTATGAACCCATGGCAGCACATCTCTGCTTTTATAGCCCTCTGTACTAGTTTTACTATTTTCCAAGTTTACCTTTTTTTTTTTTCCTTTCATTTTGACAAGGTCTTACTACATAGTAGAGGCTGGCCGCAAATTCACAACCCTCCTACCTCAGCCTCCCAAACTGGGATCACAGGCATGATCAACACACAGGGGTTCCATGTGTCAGATTTGTGTGCACACATGCTCATTTGAGTGTATGGACACATGTGTAGGTCAGAAAGTGATTTTTAGTACTTAGTTCTCTCCTTCCACCATGTAGTTCCCAGGAATTGAACTCAGGACATCAGGCTTGGCACCATGTGCTTTCCTTCACTTAGATTCACTCGCCTATATTTCGCAATTATATATCCACAGACTGCATTAAAAGAAACTTCTAAATGCATTGTGTGACTCATCCCTCTGTAGAAAACAACTCTTTTGGAAGCAAAATCCAAAGAAAGAATCTCTTGGGGGCTACAGAGATAGCTCAGAGGTTAAGAACACTGGTTGGTTGATCTTCC